TTAAGGGGTCTAGGGCCTAGGGCCCTAACTATAAGGTCCTTGGAGGCGTAGCGTAACCCTAAACTCCCCTAAACCCTGAATCCGAAACCCTGAAACCCTCACACCCTCATCCCTAAACCCTTAACACCCTTAAACATCAAACCCTTCACCCTCAAACCCTAAACCCTGAATCCCTAAACATCCTTAACCCTCAAACCCTAAACCCTAAACATCCACAACCCTCAAACCTAAACCTCAAACCCTAAACATCCTTCACCGTCAAACCCTAAACCCTAAACATCCTTAACCCTCAAACCCTAAACCCTCAAACCCTAAACATCCTTCACCCTCAAACCCTAAACGTCCTTGGCCCTCCGGCCCTAAACCCTGAACACCCTTAACCCTCCAACCCTAAGCCGGAAATTGCGAAGTCTCTCACCCTAAACCCTAAACCCTAAACCCTAAACCCTAAACCGCGAAGTCTCTGTCTGTCGGCTTTCCCTTCAGCTCCCAGGGTGCGTAGCAGCCCTGCATGTTGAGCATCCTTGGCGCTTCTGAGCTTTAGGGTTAGGGTTTAGGGTTTACAGTAGAAGCCCAAAAGTTGGAAACCCAATAGCCTCAATCCTTAAGAGTAAAGTATAGGGAAATCCAGCACTATTTGTCCTTAATCCGGTTTCCAACTTTTTGGCGTTTACTATAGGGTTTAGGGCTTTAGGGTTTAGGGTTGAGGGTTAGGGCTTTAGGGGTTAGGGTTTAGGGTGCGCAGAAGCCCTGCATGTTGAGCATCCTTGGCGTTTCTGGGCTTTAGGATTACCCGTTTAGGGCCGAAGTAGAGGTTCAGGGGTTTGGGTTTAGGGATTTGGGGGTTTAGGGGTTCAGGGATGCTTAGGTTTTAAAGTTTTATGGGAGGTCAGGTTCCGGGGTTACCATGAGGGCTTCTGTAAGGGTCCCTGCTTTTGCCCTAAACCCAAAACCCAAAACCCTAAACTCAAAACCCCAAACCCAAAACCCTAAACACTAAACCCAAAACCCAAAACCCTAAACCCAAAACTCAAAACCCTACACCCAAAACCCTAAACCCTAAACCCTAAACTCACAACCCCAAACCCCAAACCCCAAACCCTAAACATTAAACCCAAAACCCTAAACCCAAGACTCAAAACCCTACGTCCAAAACCCTAAACCCTAAGTGGTTCCTTTTTAGAACTCCGGGTTCCTTTGGGTTTAGGATTTTAGGGTTTAAAGGGTTTAGGATTTTGGGGTTTAGGGTTTAGGGTTTAGGATTTTGGGGTGTAGGGTTTAGGGTTTAGGATTTTAGGGTTTAGGGTTTAGGGTTTAGGGACCCTAAACCCTGAGCCCTAAAACCCTAAACCCTAAACCCGTAGATTTTACAGCTTGAAGCGTAAAGTCTTGGAGTTTAGGGTTTAGGGCTTGGTTTTTGGCAGGGTCCATGTACCTACATGATGGGGGGTCCTCTGTGAAGACTTCCCAATCAAAGTGTATTATTTGTCTGTACATGGACCCTCGGTTTGAGTTTAGGCCTTAGGGTTTATAGGTGCAATACAGTTTTGTGCGTATTAAGTCCGCTCTTGATCGGGCTTGGCAGCGGGTTGACATGGCTCCATGACAGTCTTCGTGTACTTCATGCTTCTGGAGAAACCTAAACCCTAAACCCTACACCCTAAACCCTAAAACCTAAACCCTAAACCTTCTGGAGAAAAACTCTGACCGAACCCTACCCTGACTCCCTAGCCGCTAAGCCCTTAAACCCTAAAGTCAGCCGAAAGCCCAACACCCTACACCCCAATGTTTAGGGTTAAGGGCCCTAAACCCTAAACCCTAAACTCCCAACACCACACAGTGCGAGTACCATGCATCTCACAGCTTCGGAGTTCGGCTGCTTAAGCTTTAGGGTTTAGGGTTTAGGGTTTAGGGTTTAGGGTTTAGGGTTTAGGGTTTAGGGTTTAGGGTTAAGATGAGCTAACAACTTCTGATTTGGCAGGTGGCAGAGTTCAGACAAAACCACACGATTTTGCAACTGCGACGCCTTTCTTTCGGAAAGATCTGTGACTTTCCGAAAATTAGGGGTACC